CATTCATTCATTCATTCATGTTTACATTTTATTTTGCTAGTTCTGTGGCTGCACCATTGCAGGTCTTTCCCTCCTGTCCTCAAGTGTAATGCGCCTGGTTAGTGAACAGAATCCACAGGACTGGCTGGACCTTCTGCTGGAGCGCCGATCTCTCTACATCCTTAGGTAATAAAAATTGCTTGGTTAGATGATCAGGCTAAGTGAGCATTTAGTCTAGCATCTTGTTTTCCATCAGTGGCTAGCTCGATGCTTCTGTAAACTTGTGGTTTTTGGAGATACACTATTTCTTTATATGGAGTCCTGTGTAGTTATCATGTCTAATAGCCTTTGATAGGCTAATTCTTCCATAATAACATCTGCCTCTTGGAAGTATTATAAAGGAACTCTGTTTTTAACATATTTTATTATATTATATTTTAACATATTTTAATTAATTAATTAATATTTCTCTATTTTAATCAATATTCTATTTTTACTGTAAACTGCCCAGAGTTTACAGTGTTTACAGTGAGATGGGCGGTGACAAATTTGAAATATAAATAAATAAATATCCTTCCACCATCACTTCTTGGAACATATTCTGTTCTGCAACTACTAAGAACACAAATTCTACCTTGATTTCTTTCATCTTCTCTTTTTCTCACTTTATATTAGTTTGTATTCATTTTTATCTGTTTTTTTAAAAAAAATATTTAATAAAATTATACAGAAAAAAAACAAATTCTACCTCAAACAAAAAGCCATCAAAGGCAGGATTCTTTGAGCAGTGTCTGTTCTTCCATCAGTTTGGGGCATACTATACTGACACTAAGTAGAGATTTCACTTGTGAATAATGAGTCAAAAGCACTGATTTTTCTCCATAAATATAACAAATAGTTTGCCATAGTTGTAAAGTATCTTACTGAACCTGGCACTCCTAATATTTTAGGCTACAACTTCCATCAGCCCTGATAATTGACCATATTAGGTTTAATAGGAGTTATGTTCAGTGCAGGGGGTACTACTCTGGAGGAGAGTCCTGTCAGTTAAGCATTTTACATGGAAAGATGAATCAGTTTATATGTAATAGAAAATTATGATTTTCTGTGACAGCTATGCACCTTTGTGAGTCTTGGGTCTGTATATTCCATCTCTCCCTCCTCCATGGCTGTAAGAGGAGATTGGAAATGTCTATTTCTGTTGTTAACAAATCATGGTGCCCTGTTACATCAAAACTTAAGGAACAGTGGTTTGTTAGAACAAAACAAAGTCAAATTGTAGTTTCACATTTAGGATTGTTCTGTCAAACTGCAGTTCCCTAACTTTTGAATGTTAATGGAAATCCAGGAGTTTATGTTGTTTCCTTGCAGGTGCTTGATAGTTAAGACTTGTCCATAAAATAGGAAACTATAATATCTAATTTGATTAATAGCTTATAGAAATTAATGAGGAGCTGTAGCTGTTCATATACATGAAGTAGTCTGGGTATAAACTTCACTGAGAACAGAACTAGATATACTTTTTAAGGACTGCAGAAAGAACTAAGACATGAAATGCCAACAGTTTCTGAAGACTGAGACTTCTTCCAGACTCATGTCATGCTTGGGACAAAACTCTTTTCCAGGTTATGGTAACTTACTGATGTCTTCTCTAATGTCTTCTTTGAATAAAGAGGGCCTGCTCGTTATGAATTCACTCATGAAATCCTTAAAGATGAGGAGTCCCTTTTCGATGGAAGGAAGGTCCCCAGGGAGCGAAGGATCTCTGTCATCTGCCGAAACCTGCCCTTACCACCCGAACCATCCTAGAACTGCCAACTGATACTGTGAAGGCAGACTGTTGCTCCCAGGTGAAATTTAGTTTGTTGTCTGATTGAAGTGGAGCTCTTTCTAAAGAAGTTGATCTGACCTGCTGTTCCATGTGGCCTTGGTTTTCAGTCTAACAATAAGTGATGGAAGCTTTCCTCCATGCAGTAAAAGGAGCCTAAAAATGTACGCAGTCTTTGGAAGCATTCTGCCTCTTGCACTTAACACATAGGAAGAAGGAAGCCCTGCAAAGAGCTGGCAAATAGACCCAACTAAAATGAATCACAACACTGTTGATCTCAGGGAATAACATTTTTTCTGTAATGCATGTTGCTGCAAACATAGGTAGGGGTGAAATTAAGAGTTGAAATGTACAGCTTTGTTGGTAGGGGATATCAGTCTATTGTAATTTTTAAATTATCTAACCCTTTCCAGTTACTGAAGTATTGAACATTGTTCTCTTCTCTGCTCAGTATTCAGTATCACACATGCTGAGCCTCAAAATAATGAACTTGGCAAAGCAGATGGACAGGTGTTCTCCAGTGGTATGAATTCTTTCTAACAGATTGGGCTGAAAAGGAGAATTACATTCTTGATGCTTGTGGCTTACAGATGCGAACAGGGACTAAGCTAAATGCACTGCTATTTGTTTATAAATGTTTTGCCAATTTCTGGAATGGTACTTGAATGTTTGCATTGTTTCACAGTTGATGCTACAACTGAATATGCTTTCATTTCTGTGAGTTAAACTCACAGAACTTTAACATGATTCTGACAGGGAGGTGACATAAGCACAAGATTAGTCTTAACATTTGTGTAATCTAAAGATAAATAAGTGATAAGGCTTAGTTAGAATGTCTCTAAATGGGATCTTGTCTATGGGTGGGTATTTAATGAGTGGGAATAGCTGGAGAAATTTCCACAACTGATGTGCAGCATCAAAATGCTATGCAAGAGAAAAGAGCTAAAATGAAGAAATGGAAGACAAGTCTTAGCTATAAAAGGGCGGGGGTGGTGGTTGAGAAATGTGAAAATAGCACTTATCTAATATTTGAATAATTTGGGACATAGTAGAATATGAAAAAGCTAGGGCTGAACCTGTTGTCTCCTATTGCTCAGGTCTGGAATCCAGTTTTACTTGCAACCAGAAACCCCTGATTCTCTGTGTATGGCCCTATCTCTTCTCTGTGTTTTTGTTTTACTGTTCTTCCTCTCCATTTCCTAAAAAAACCTCTTGAAACTCTAAGTTATATATATGCAGTATTCTTGACAAACTCTGTGGTGTACCCTTATGTTGCTAAACAAAAAAGGGCTCAGACAGTTTTGTTGGGATTACTGAGCGATGTTTCGATTTTGTTTTTTAAAAAGTACTGTATGTCTGTTGCTAAGAATACAGGCATGTGGCTTCAGTCTGGTTTTGACTGTTTATTTTCATGATGTTTTGGATGACTATTTATTTGCCATAATTTGGATCAAGAGTCAACACTAAGTTGTTTGGGATATCCAGTAATGCAAAAAAAGTCACCTCCCAGTTACTGATCCTGACCCCAGAACTGGAGACACTGTTTGTCCTTGCTTTATTTTTATTTATTGACACCAGTATGTACATATCAGTTAATCATTCATAATACAAGTTTGGGACTAATAACCTCAGCCTTCCAAGAGAAGAAATTGACAAATAAATTAAAAAAACAACAGGGAAAGCTCAAATTGGGAAGGAAGTTGGCAAACGCCAGTCTCTCCTTGAATTCAGGAAAGAAATAAATTAAATAACTTAGGAATAACCCATAAATATTTTGGATGGTTGCCTGAGCCTTTCATATCTAATTTAGACAGGATTCAGTCAAGCCACCAATATGTTTAAGTGAAGTGGATCTTGGAAGAATAGGAAAGGGCTGGTAGATGATATGCTCATGCTCAAGAAGGTACTCCTTGTCTTCTGCTAAGTAGGAATCATTCTGTAGGGTTGTTCTGTGCTTGGAGTGAAGGGAAGTAGGCATCACATGGTGGGGTTTCTTGCAGTTCTTTCTCTTAAAAGCTTGTGTAAATGCTGAGGACTGGATTGAGATAAAGTAATAATACAGCTAAATATACAATCATGCTTTGCTGCTGACTTATAAGTCTCTCCATCCATCCCCCCCCCACCATTAGCCATCAGCCCAAACAACTGCAGGCAGAGGCTGAGAGTTTCTCCACTTCGTGCCACTGGTGGCTGTCATCTAGAAAAGCTACATTTTCATAGTGCGTGGGACGACAGCAGGGGTTTCCCAATGCTGGGATCTCACTCTTCTGCAGCAGAATTGAGAGGGTCATGTCATGATTGCTGTGTGCCTTGGGACAGGTCCCGCTGCAGTACTTGAAAAGGATGGTCTCTTCAGAGTTGTAGCCCAAGCCTAGATCTTTGATACGAACCAGCAGGCTTCGTAGTCGACATTCTTGTTCCTCAGGTCTCTCCCATGTATGCCTCTTTGGGCGGATCCTGGCTGGGCCAGAGAACAGTGAGGTTGGGTGGTTTAAAGAGTTGTTCTGGAGAGTTGTAGCACGGGTGAATGTTCCTTTAGAGGATTGTATTTCTGTAATGAGAGGAAGAGAAAGAAGTAGAATGGCTGGAAGAATGGACATCATCTTACATAATCCTTTGTTGGAGCTACTTTGGATAGGAGCAGTAGCCAGTAGTGGATTTAAGCATCTAGAATGGTTAGGCCATATATTCTGACCAGGAAAGGATTGTATATAAATTGCTCTGAGAGCATGTAAGTCTGAAGGATACATTTTTTAAAAAAGCTGGAAATAAATAGTTCATTTTTCTTGTATATAATACATCAGTGTTTACCCATTGTTTGGTTAGATTAGAATTACCAAAGCAGTCTAATTCATGTTGATTGGTAGAATCAAACACACTATTTTGATGCCTGCAACACAAATTCCAAGTTGTTCTCTTCCCTTTACACATTAAATATGAATAAGACATTAAAATGGAATACAGGAGACAGAGGATGCTTCCATGTCAAGCACTCCTAAAGTTACTGGTTCTAAGTATTGTGCATCTGTTTCATCTTTTCATTATTAGTTATTTTGTGGAAAAGAAAAAGATAGAAGAAGAGCTGGGGAAAAAAGGAGTGTAACAAATAGAAGATGTAGTCAGGAACAACATAAAGGAGTGTGATTGTATAATAAAAAATGTCTGGCAACACCTTCAGAAGCTTTCCTATCAATGTTAACGTAGTCACACCTTAATGGAGTTAATGCTTTCTCCATGGATGATAAATTACTCTTGATTTCTGGTATATCTGGATAAAACAGGAGTAGTAGAAAAAGATTGTAGAGAGCCAATGCCCAGTAGTAGTCTAGGTGTCCAGTTATCTGACCCAGTGTAATGCAGTTTACGTGCCCCAAAGTAGTAATATTCAGTAGATTAATTCATGTGCACACGCTGTTTTAGAATTGATAATGAAGATATCAAAATGGTTAGCTTCTGCCTATTAGGATCAACCACCAACAGTAAAGGAACAAGCAATCAAGAAATACGCTGCAGAGTAATAATGCTTGATAGAGTAGTAATGAAAGCCTTGGAAAAGATATTCAAATGACATGATGTGTCTATACCTATAAAGATCAGAATAGTGCAAGCAGTGGTATTCCCTGTAACACTCTATGGAAGTGAAAATTAGATTTTGAAGAAGCAGGATAGGAAGAGTATTGTTGCTTTTGAACTTTGGTGTTGGAAAAAATTGAGAATACTGTGGACAGCCAAGAAAACGAAAAAATGGATCATTGAACAAATCAACCCAGAGTTCTCACTCAAGGCACAAATGACTAGGCCCAAATTAGCCTACTTTGAACACATTACACAAAGGCTTATTTTTTTTGGAGAAGGCTCTATTGCTGGGATAGTTGGAAGGAAAGAGAGGAGGATGACTAGCAGCAAGGTGAATAGACTCACAGTGGCAATGGTTCATCATTCAAAGACCTGAAAGACCAGGTTAGGTAGAAATCATCATGGAGAAAATCTATCTGTGAAATCGCTAAGAGTTGACACCAACTTGATGGCACATAATCAGTCAGTCAAAATTGCACACACTGCTGTTTCAGTGTCGTCATTATTATGTCACATTATGTCATTATTAAGCAGGCTGTCAAGAAAATAATTGTTCTCATTTTTTGCATATCTAAGGCAAAGCGAGGAAGGTGGTCAAGTCAGCCGAAAAAGCCATCTTTAAAAAGCTAAAATAAAGGGTGATGAGTGTAGATTAGGCCACATAAAGATAGGAACTGTTAGATAAAGACTTCTAGGGATGGATTTGATCAGCAAAAATGGTACTGACGAAGGGGAAATTGTTAGCATCCCTCTTTAGCATTGTTGCCTTGAATAATTCCCTGATCTTTTTTTAAAATTGAGATATTGGGATATCCCTAGTCTCATATAGCCTGTAGTCAACAAAGAACAAACAAACAGGCTGTCTAATAATAGCAACGTTTATATAGTTTGAAGTTTTCAAAATACCTTCTTTCAATTTTTATTTCTGCAATATTTATAATAATTCTTTAATATAATAATTCTTTAAAATAATTTTCTGTTCCTTCTGTTGGGAAGAGGAGGCCACTTAGGGATTTTATGGCTGAGGTAAGATTGAAACAAGGAACATACATCTCATGCTGCTAGAACTAAGCCTGGCATGATAACAAGAGTTCCAGGTGTTTAAAAAGGAATCTACTCAGTTACATAACAGAAGGGACATGAGTGGATCTAGTTTTGTAAAAAGAAAAACCATACAATTCTCAGCTTCTTTCCACTAGACAAGGTGTAGAAGAACACCGCTTGGAAAAAAGGGATGGTGATGGGCAGGAAGCTTTGTTGCTATGAAAATGCACACCATCTCTGTTTTCATGTCATTGGACTGGTCTGCATTCCTACCATTTTAGTTGTAGCCCACTTTATCTACCAAAAGCTGTCAGTTATCTTCTTAATAATATAAAACATACCTTATAAACTGCATGTAGTAGCCAGCTCCTTATTCTGAAGTGGATTTGATTATTTACCACTGGGAATATTCTGAACTGTAAATAATGGATATCACACACGTCTACCAAATTAAGAGAATATCACGGAGTGCATGCTTATCCCTGTATTCCGAACACTTCCCACATCTTTGTCTCTGGTATATCCAAACCCAAAGCACTTTGCTTAAAACTAGTGAAAAAGGCAAAAATCAAAAGACATCCCTTTGTCAAGGTATGAGAAACCTGTGGTCCTTCAGATATTAAATTATAGTTTTCAGCATCCCTCACTCTGACAGCTGATTGTAATTGTAACTCAGCAATGTTTTGGGGGGGGATTGTGCATCTCTTATATCTGTGCTATATGTAATCTTTAATGTGATTCTTCACTCAAAAAAATTGCAGATTGCTGAGAATTTGTTGGAGAACTCAAATCTCTTTCAGTTCCTGAGAGGAAAACTAGTGTAGTAAGATTGTTTAACAAGAAGGAAGAGAGAGAACTTTTTTTTCATCATCTGCTAAGTACTATGATAAAATGGATAGAATTGGGCTCTATTAGGGCTGACCTAAGACATAGATACATCTTAGGTGTTAGATGCCTAAGACAATTATTCAATAACATTGTGCTGGTTTCTGGTGTTCCTAATGCTGAAAGTTTATTTGGTGATTGGTAACCTTTCTTTTCATTCATGCTGTTTCTTATTCCATTTACACTGTCTCCCCACACCTGGCAGCTCACCATGTCCCAGACCCTCTATTTTCTTGACTCCAGTTCAATACTTACTTGACCCTCCTTTCTTTCTTCCTTCACCTTTCTTGTTAAACATCCTTATGCTTTCATTTAATGCTGCATTCAGATTGTTGCCATTACCATCTCTGCCCACTGTTTACCTCCCCATGTCACTCCCTTTTTCCAGGAACCTCTCAGCACCTTCTGTGACTTACAAATTGATCCTGGAGTGCACCTTTTGGATTTTATCCTCCCATATTAGGACTTCGAAAATCGTCTATGCAACTGCTGATGTAGACAGACATCTGTAAAACTCAGAGTGTAAGCAATGTTCTCTGGAACATATAGAAGCTGGGTTTCCATGATGCACTTACCTTGGATACTGAATTAACCCATTTCCAGGTTCACACAATACACTGAATACATTGTAAGCTAAATTTGCCCAATACATTATACCACAGAAAAATGTAATAAAGGTAAAAAAAAAAAAATAGCAAACTGTAAATTGGGAAAATGCAGCCTCTGGGTCTTCAACTGACCTGGTTAAACATGATGTGCCAACCCAGTCTGGAAGTTTGCAAAAGAATAGGTACTTGAACCTAAGCTGCTTATTTCTAGGATTAGTGAGCTCTAGCCTGCCAGCTACAGTGGCCTTTCCTTCATCACCATTGCTGGTGCCCTAGTGCATGGTAAAATCCATGTCTTGGGGAAACAAGTCAGCAATAGTAGGAGTCTTTAACCAATTTCCAAGCAGTTGTTGCCATACCTAGTTGTCTCTGTAATACGTCTCTGATCCAGGTCCCTGACTTTTGCATCATGATGTTGCCGTCAGTGGGCTGGGAAGGAGCTGTTTGGATCAACAGGATGAGAGAGAGACCGTAGAGAAGCTGAGGTGTGCCCATCCCTTCCCCAGTGAGCAAGGCCAAGTTCTATAGGGAAGATAAATCTTTCCCTTCCTTTATATCTTCTTTGAAAGAGTGGGCGGGAGGGGGAATTGCATGTAGACTGGTTGGAGGAAAAGTATTAACCCTTGCACCTTTAAACTGTTGCAGATCATGCAAGACAGGGTTCCTGCACAACAGGCTTAGAAGCTCAATCCATAAATCATAATGGCTTTGATGAGATCTGTATGCAGAACAGGCTCTCTGACAGCCTGTTAACCTTGCCTCTGGATCTCTGTGGGAGCCTCCCAATCAAAAAACAATTGACAGCCATACTTGAACATGGCAAGCTTCCACTGTAGCATCCTTGCCAAGAAAAGGATTGAGCCAGCTTGACAATGTGCAAAACCTAATTGGTCACCTGGAGTGACAGCAGCAATATGAGGGTGCACTAAAAAAAGTAGTCTCCTTTGTAATGTTATGCCAATTTGGAGTCATGCACAGTCCTCCATGTCTTCACCAGATATCTTGGCTACAGCTCAGGTGGTGTCTTTTGCTTGTGGCAGTGAAACGCCTTTGGCTAACCCTGCCCATAAATAGTGGTTTTCACATGTTGGAACTCTTAGGTTTTTGTCAAATATATTCCATTCTGAAACAGTTAAATCTTTAAAGAGCCCTGAATCCTTGAATGGAAATTCCTGGAGTTGATTATGCCCAGACCTGCTGTGGTGAAATGCCTTTGAGAGGAGTTGGTAGGGGTGGGGGGAAAAGGAAAGAAGGGCTACTCCATAAATTATACATGTATGGAACATGCTGAACTGACTGTCTTGGCCCTGGCTTCAGAGACATAGCTTTTAGCTATGTGAGATGTCCTGAAAGAGGGACTCCCTTTTTGTGTATTGGTGGTTGGTAAAGAGATGGATCCAGGCCTTCCTCTTGAGAGAACTAGAAGGTAGCAGTGATTCTTGCTTCTGCTTGGGAAGCACTGTTACATTTTCTGGTGTGTGCCTGATGAGGCACTGAATTAAAGGGACAATGATGGCAGCCACATAGCTTGGAAGGAAAATGCATCCAGCTGTTAGCTTAAATCGGTTGCAGAGCAGTTCTAATCTTCCTTGGTGACTAACTTGCAGGAAGATGAATTCTTTGCTTCCAGTGTATCATTCTCTGTACAGTTATAAGGCCACTTTTCCCAAATGACAACTTTCAGATGCTTTAGACTACAACTGCTATCAAACCCAACTAGCATGGCATTACTGGCCACTGAGAAATGCCATGATGGTGATACTCTTCAGTATAGGTCCCTGACAGTAATAATCTATATAGATGCCACAATTCTTTGATGCCCAGAAAAAAAAGCAAAAGTAGCTTCCATTCCAGTTTCAATGTATATTACATCCCAGGTTTCACCCCAGAGATACTTAGGCCATTTTGGACCAAGTACTGTATAGCACATCTCCTATCCTTTCAATAGGTTCTAGAAATCATCTGAATTATGTAGGTTGGTAGCTTTCAGGAAATCTCAGTTTCTTTTGCTTTCTACTTTTTTAAAAGCAGAGTTCTAGATTTCAGCATTGTACTGTACAGCAGCCTATATTACCCTGAATCTCTGTCCTGCTTCTGTACTTTAATCTAAGCTCCTTTATATGCCAACGTGCCTGTTCTCTTCTCTTAACTGATCCTCATTACTGAAAGAATAACTATAATATATCTATCTATATCATTATTTTGATAATGTACATGCGTGTATTATCTGAAAGAGGGTTTGTATAAAGTTCATTGTTTTCCATTTCACTTTGGCTTTGTCCCTTTCCTCATTTGGTTGAGACAGAATTAAAACTAAGGTTCCTCTCAATGTATTGTCCCACATTGATCATGTGCTCTGAAAGAATCATTAGATCAACACAGTTGGCACTCACAACAATGGTATAATATACTACCACAGCTCCGCAGCATTATCCACATAAAGCTTCTCCTTCTACTCTACTGCCTTCTAACCATGACAGGCAACAGAAACTTACGTTCTGAGGCTTTTCATCTCTCGGTACCGGATGCCAGGAACAAAGAAAAAAGGAATATGGATGATATTTTTTGGTTAAAAGTATGTTGGCCTGATCTGGTCCAATAGAAACCATCTTACCCACTTCTGCAATAAGTTAAATAGGTAAATTAGATTACCTGCTACATATAATGAACACTCTCTGTAAAGTTTCCGATCTTTTCCAAATGTCCAAAATGCATTCCCAGCCAATATTTTGCAAATTTAATTTTCTCCTATATTTTCCTTTCTTTTTAGCTACCACCCAGATTATCGTCTCCCAAATAAAATTTTCCCTTTTCCTTCCAGTCACATCCCATTTTTTGTTACCTGGTTTAGGCCAGTTGTCCTTCAGCATTGTCTGGTTGTATGAAGTGTCTGTCCTCTCACCACTACCATAAAGATGCAGGATTTGGGAAGAAGGATTCAAGATAGAACAGAAACAGTCTAGAGCCTAACTAGATTGAGATGGTGAATAAATTCCATAAATAAGTAAGAGAAAATGTGCAATTAGCCATGAAGTTTCTTTTAACAAGAAGTAATATAAAAATGTTTCAAATAAATAAATGCTATCCTCTCCACCTCTGAAATACTGTTCCACTACATACACTTTATGTTCCATTTTAGAATCTGATATACCATTTAGGCTTAGCTGAATAGTAGTACACCAGTCAATCCCATTGTGCTCCATTCCAGTGAAACTACATTTCTCAAAACTCGTGATTTAGAGTTTTTCTGTTTTGGGCTGATGAATGCATGCTGAATTTTACTGAATGCTTTTGCTCTTTTTAAGGATAGAGTAGTGGGAACTGTGCACTCTATCTAAAGCCATGAGTGGGGCTACCCTCTTATCCTGCTATTAACTCTTCCCTTGCTACAACTTAATGGACACAGCCCATTGTGGACACTACCTAACTTACACAATCCTTACACAAATTTGCATCTTTAATCCTTAATCCTTGTTCTCTCAGCTCTCTGAATGAGTGAATTTGAGAGGTGTATCAGGTATGGTGTGTCAGAATTTGCAGCCTGCACACAGCTTAATGAATAGGACAACACTGAGACAAATGGCTATTCTTTCTTCAAGAAAACAGGACAGTGACAGGCAAGCTGCTGCAATAAGGGTGGCAAAAATAAAATACTTTGCTGCTCCTGTTATGTCTCCTGAATGTCCCCAATTGTCCTCTTTATAAGGGAAGGAGGATTGCTCCTTCTCAAGGGCCACTGTGAAGAATTCTTGCAGCATTTGGCAGATAAAACCATCCAGACCTGAGTGAAGTAATCTGGGATCAGTTTGAGTCTATGGGTCTGAGGTAGCCGATAGAGCTGTCTGTGGTATCAGCTCTGCCACTTCCCAGCCAGATCCCTGCCCTTCATAGCTGGTTAAGATCTCATGAGATGACAGGAGGTTGGATCTGAGCAGTAATTAAAAACTTTTTTAGGTGGAGGGTGTTCCCATCTTCTCTGAAAAAGGCTACAGTATGCCGCCTCCTCAAGAAGCCTTCACTCAGTTCAGTTATTTTGGACAATTTAGTCCAGTTTCTAACATTCCTTTTCAGAGAAGGTTGTAGAAAGAGTGGTAGTACTGCATCTTCAGAGGACCTAGAAGAAGCAGATTATCTGGACCCATGGCAGTCATGTTTCAGGCTGCATGGAAATTGCATTGGTCATGCTTGTAGATGATCTCTGGAAAAATGTGGGATCGGGGAGTGCAATCTTCCTCATCCTCTGTACAGCTTTTGATACCATTGACCATGTTGTTGTTCTGAATCAGCTCTGAGGGACTGGAGTCAGGGACATTGCTCTTCAGTGGTAGTTATCCTTCCTGAGGGCTTGGTTCCTGTCAGTGTTAGTGGCTGATGAGAAATCTGCCTGGAAACCTTCATTTTACAGAGTGCCTGCACATCAGCATCTACATGAAGCTGCTGGAGGAGATAATCCATTAGCACAGGGTCAGGTATCATAAGTATGCTGATGATACCCAAATGGGTGATATCATAGAAATGCTGATCCAGTGCCTGGAGACTGGTAGGGTCTGGATGGGGAGAATAGATTCAGACTGAATCCCAACAAGATGGAGTGGCTTTGGGTTTGTGGGCTAAATAATTAGAAGGTAGTACTATCTCGCTCTGTATGGGATTGCACTCTGCCGTTCAAATGTGGTCTGCAGTTTGGGGCTCCTCCTGGATTCATAGCTCTTGCTCCTTGAACAGGCAGCAACTGTGATTGGGAAGGATTTTGCAGTTATATTTTATGCCAATTCCTGGGTTGGGGAACCCTGTTCACAATCACTCATGCTCTAATCACCTCTCACTTGGATTACTTTAACATGTTCTATGTGGGGCTGCCCTTGAAAAGCATTTGGAAGCTACAGCTGGTACAGAATACCTGGGCAGCAATGAATGAACCTCCTTAAATTTGAGTGACCCTGCTGCTTCAGGAGTTGCATTGGCTACTAGTCTGCTTCTGGATGTGATTCAAGGTGCTGGTAGTTACCTTTAAGGCCCTACATGACTCTAGACCTGTTTATTTGCAGGATCACCTTTTCCTGTATATCTCTGTCTGATCAGATTGAATAGGGTCAACAACCTCCAGGTTCCATCTAACTGAGAAAGCCACCTGACAGGACCTCAAAGACAGGGATTCTCAACTCCTACCCCAATGCCTCCCTATGGAGATTGGGCCTACTCCTACTCTCTTGAGTTTCAGGAGAGCAATTAAAACCTGGCTATTTCATATAGCCCAGGAGAAAGGCATGTTGTGATTGTTGGAGTAAACTAGCAGGCACATGACTTTGTATAATTCTTTCTTTTTATGTTCTTTTTTGTGAACTGTTGGGATTTTTGGAATTTTTAGGGTAGGTTTATTATTTTCTGAGGATTTTCCTTGTTTTTCATGATGTGCCTTATTGTTTGCTGCTCAAAACATTCAGGAATTTGTGGCATGCAAATAAAGTAAAAGTAGGAGAATGATAATGGTGGTGGTGGTGATGACGATGATGATGGCATCTTTCCTCCAGTGGACTCTGGCAGTGTTCTTGGAGATATCCTACCATATAGCATGTTTGGAGAATGAGAGAGAGAGAGAGACATCCCAAATAAAAGGGCAGACGCAGAAGCTAGAGAGAATTGTGTTCAATTCTGCTATGAGCTGAAATACTTCAGGTGCTATTTCAAAACTGGCCCACCACTGTCTGTGACTTAACAGTTCTTGCTATAGGCCGATGGCTACTATAGCTTCAGAAACTTCCCCTTGGTGTCTTTGGTATTGTTTGGGCTTCTTTTAAATTCTGAATCTGCTGCCTCCATGACTGCTAGCGTTCCTGAGATGCCGAAGGAAAGGTCAGCAAAGGAAGAAGAGGAATTTGGGGTAGGCGAGCCGTCGTCTGGCTGTCGGCTTAGCCCTGTGGTGTATGGAACATCTCCTTGAGCCTCAGTGAGGCTGGGAGGGCTTGTATGTGGCATGATAGAGCCAATAAATCATCAGGCTGACACAAGAGGGATCTCTGCTGTCTGCATTTGGTCTCTCCAAGCAGTACATTCCTTCCACTTGGCATTGCACATACCACAACAGGACCCAATGCAGGCTTAGCAGGAGTGGAAACAGTCTGGAGGATCATGAGAGTGGAAGAACAGACTGGAAGCAAGCTAGGATACTTGGGGTTAGGCCAAGGGACCCCAGCTTTTGGGCCAATGGGCTCATTTGGAATTTGGAATATATGTTATGGATGTTCCACAAAATGTCTGCTATTGTGGGTGTGGCCAATTGTAATACATTTATCAAAAGACCCTATCCCTTTTATCCTCTTGGGATGCTTCCTACCACCACAGTCCACCTTTGTCTTTCTTCAGGGCAGATGTCAGATGGGCACACTTTGCCACAAAGCATTCAGGTTCAGTCTGCTATTATTTTTTTCCTAAAAACTCTTCTGAGGTCTATATGGGATCCAGATGTATTTTTGGAAATATAGGGTATGCTTGAGGCTGGTACTTTCCTTTGCCCTTCATTGTTTTTTTAATTAATATAAAATAAGGGAGGGCTGGAAACCTATTAGCTACCAGGAAATGTGGGCATTTGGGACCCAGAAGTTAGGTGTTGTGTGGAAGGAAAGAGATTCCACCTGCTCTTGTGGAAAACAATTAGGATAATCTCAGCTTGACTGGAAAATCAGGAGCTCTGTGTTACACTGTAATAAGAATGGTGGCATAACAGATCATGAAGACAGTTTTCAAAGGAAACTAGAGAACCCTGGTTTTTCTCAGACATTTGCTAAGGACACAACATTGAGAGTCATTTTTAGTAATAGCTTTTCTGAATGACAACCTGCTCACCCTTATTGATCATCCTCTTCAATGTGCAGGCTGTGCTCTAGATTGTACATTTTTGTATAGGCTGTAGGTGAGGTTCAGCGAACCTTTACATTATCTCACAGGGACTGAATATGATTCAGGCACTCCCCCATCTATCCCACGCCACAATCTTCAGAGGTGTCACATCAGACAATGCAGAAAGAATTTTCAAAGGGCAAAAGATTGAGAGACCAATTTCTGCACAAGGGAATTTGGATTCAGTAGGGCTAAGAAAAGAATAAGATCCAATAGGTGTTTTTTGCCTTTGCTAAAGGATGTCTTGAAATGAGATGGTTCCACCAGCCAAACCATCAATTTTTGTCCTCTTTGGAGCAGGTGGGTCCATGAAGATCCTTGAAAGGTAGATCTGTTGCTGGACCTAGCTTTTTCTTATATTCCCATGTAATGTACACATTCAGAGGATGAACAGAGAAGGATCACAGTCTTCAGTTGTTGCTGCTCTCTGTTTTTTGGAAGTGGGTTGATTAATGGGGGATGAGGAGAGTATTTCCCCAAGTTTAGAGCCAGGACACCTGGAGTTAAATGCTGCCTATATGTTTTGTGTTACTAATTCCATCACTTGGGCAGCTGTTAGCTGTGTTAGTTGAAGGCTGGTTGAAGTCTAATGCTTCTGGAATGGACCTGACTGTTTAAGGGAGAAGGAGAAATTGTGGTAAGTAGCCGCTTGCCCCATGCAACATTTCATCTATTTGCAATTTTATTAATCCACTTTAATAGTGGATTCTAACCTGGCGTGCATCTCGTTGGCCTAAATCAGTTTATAGCAATTTCCTCAGTGCTTCTGTTTTGGTCCGCAGTTCTCACAACAGACATTGTGGATCAGGCAAGTTTCTCATTGTGTGGCAACTTTCTACTTTGGCTGTTTGTCTGCACCATCTCGTATTAAGTATATATATTACTCCAATTATTTATTATAATTAGTATCTGTTAATAGATAAAAGGCATGTTTTTACCTAATTCAACTTTCTGATGCCCTCCAGCTGGAATTCTGGAACATGTAATCCAACACATCTGAAGAGTACTAGGCTGAAATTCTAATACTTTATAATTAAAAAAAGTTTTTTGGATCAGGCAATACAGTATATACATTATATATATAATCAACATAAAAATCCATCCTGTTTCCAGCAGAGGCCTGAAGACTGATACTTCTTGGAAATCCAAAAACAGAGCATGAAGCAATTTTTGAAAGAAGGGAAACTTGTTTTTAAAAACAAAAAATTATTTTCCATCGTATGTGCTTGCCCTCTCCTAGTTTCTGAAAAACATATCTTGGTTTTATTTCCATTCACCCACTCCCAGTTTTCAAACTTAAGTAAGAAGCCCACCACTGTCAGAAGGATGAGTTGCAGCAAGTAGAGAGCTCTGCAAGAAAAGTTCCCCTTTCTTGCTTCTTCCTGGCTCTTGGTTACAAGGAGGCAGCTGGTTCTGAGTAGCTGGTGTGAACCCTGAAAGACTATGCATGTTTCTTAGTGTCCTTAAGATTTTCTTGCCTCCAGATTTTGCAGATCACTTTAGACATAGACAAGGACATCTGAAGATGCCTTCGCCATATGATATGCTGCTGTACTTCTTTTGGCTTGGATTCTCCATATTATTAGCATCTTAGAAACTGTACATCTTGGTCATAAATAATGTGTTTCCCGATCACATGGTGATCCCTCAGCTTCTGTACTCCTAGTAGAACTTTTGAATGAACTGAATGTACTACAATTACAAAGGCCTTTATAAGTCTTAGGATTGGATACTTGCAAGGCTGTTTTCCCACAGATATCGGCTCATAGGTTAAGATATGGAAGACCTCTAAGCGCTTCTACCTTCTGAACTTCAGTGAATGGCAGTTGTGGAAAGAAAGTTGTGGTCAGAGCATTCAAATTCAGGAGAAGACTAACTGATATTTCCCTTTATATTTATTCAGTGCCAGATGCAAATCATACTGTTTTCTGAAGCCTCTTAAAATATTGATTTAGGGAGTATTTCTAAATTCCTGCGAGAGTAGCTGAGGGGCAGGTGGATGGTTGTTTCAGCATTCATGTGTGGGGCCTGCCACAAAAGGTTCCTTGCTCAGCCTAGAACTCTCCTGTCATCATCAGGGCAAAGTCATGGCAGATGTTGCATGGAAATCCAGTCCTACTTCACATCTAGAGCACTGAGCATTAGGGGTGAAGGAAAATTATAATGAGAATTTTCTTCTACTAATGAAATGGGACACCTGTGCTTCAACTGCTTTGCTGTATTGTAAAATATAGTTGCAATAAATGGCAGTTCATATGGAGGTTAGGTTCAGGCTCAAATACTTCAGCCTGGCCTCCTAGACTATAAGCAAACCTTCTGACAGATAAGGAATATATGTTCTCTGTTTTGTTCATATCACCTTACAGTCAAAGAAAATGTGCTTGTGTGCAAAGATGCTGCATGTGCCTATTTTGGTATAGACACAAGCACTGTCAGTGGGCCTGGGGATCAGGAGGTATGACCTACAATGATTGTGTTGATTTGTTATTGGTGAGTTTGTTTTTACCCTGACTGTGGTTTATATGTGCGTTGCCATTTCTTGTTTTTTAAAAATGTTTTTAATGCTGTTTTTAATTATTGTTAGCCACCCAGAGTTATGAACTTGAAATGGGTGGCTATATACATTTAAATAAATACATGAATAAAAGATCCCACTATACCTGACAGTTTCCAATCGTCTCTAAATTAGTCTTCACTCACAATAATAAATCTACCTTTTTCCTGTGAGGTAACACATTAGAATGAATGGATTCTATTAAATAAATAAATATCAAAACAAAACAAAGGATGAATTGATCCTAAGGAACATGCAATATTTTATAAAGTGCAAAGGCTCCTAGTTTCATCACCGAAAACTAAGTATGGCATATATATGTCATCCACATATAAACCCAGGTAGTTATATTGTGCAGTGGGAAACTAGAACAAGCAACATGACTTAATAATTCACCATCATTATTGTCCAATTAAGGACACCACTATGCATAGAGCCCACATTCCTTTTGACTGATGTTGCGTTTCCTTGTTATTTGGCATTTGATTGCTCTGACAATATGAACTGTGCTTAATAAGAAAAAGGAGCCTGGTTCAGGTGCTCTAGGCACTAGACCCACAAACATACTTCTGCCATTTTAGGTTGTTTCTTTTCACTTAGAAGAATCATAGTGAAATTCAGCTTAAGCTTTGAAAGAATCTTTGCAGGGTTGATCAACTGCAGTTATTGCAGTTATCTTGGTAAGAGCTGAGAGGACTGTGTGCATCTTAATTCTACTGACTTCAATACAGAATGAGACTTAGTGCAACTACTGTCCCTGAAAAACCATGAAAACTACTATACTTGCAGGCACAGTGACTCACTGGCCAGCACTCATCCCTATGCCTGAAGTGGCTAGAAATCTTTGTTTCTGTGCAGGTGTTATCTCAAACCAGTTATTTTTAGCCTGGACATCTAAAAATTTGTTCTACTGCCAATGGAGACTGCAGTGGGTAGTGGCACGTAAGGAACAATGTGAGGAATGCTCGTGTTGTTCCAGGCTGGGAGATAGTGGATTTCCTAAGATAAATCACACTTGGACGCTTGATGCTCCTGAACTGGTGATGGATGAAGATACAATATTAAAATGGCAGGAAGCAACTAGAGAAACTGCCACTGCTGTTTATGTGAAGGGGGAAAAAAAAAAAAAACCTAAACAAAACAGGAGAGGAAAGCCACAGCTGTAAAAAGCCACAGCTGTAAAAAGACTTCAGGTTGGGAAACTGTTGGGTAATTCTCCTTGTGCCCCTTGTGCATAAACACAGAGCAGCAGTCTGCGGGAATCAAAATAATTGCTCTTAAGCAGTAGCTGTACCAACTTCCAAATAATGTGTAGAAGCATAATTTTAGATATACAGAATTTCTTAGGCAGCATCATTTTAAAGAGTGCTTAGGGAAAGCCAAATGCAATTCACCTCAGAGGCCCCTATATCTTTTGTGGGCTCCTTGCTTGTGCAAACCAAGTGACTACTGCTACTAGCAGTTTAAGGGCTCATGAAAAGGATGAAAAAAAAAACATAGACCCCTGCTGGGTTGATGTGGGAATTTATGCTGTAATTATTGCTTAAAAACAAAAGTTCTTACTCTTACAATATGCTTTTGTAGTATATGCCACTACTTTAGCACAGCTTTCTCCAACTTGGTGTCCTCTGGCTGTGCTAAGTTGGGTACCTATAACATGGAATGCTAGCTTCCAGGTCTACCACTTTCCTATTGACAGCAATTCACTGCTAAGGACTAGAGAAGCAGGGACTGGAGAACCTCGGCAGGCTACTGGTCCTTGTGAATGGACTAAAAGCCAGAGTAGCAATGTGGTGGCAGCACTGGCAAGTGTACAGCTGTCCCCTTTAGTTTCTAATTGCTTTTGGTTTAAGTCATCAGCAAATAGTGCTGATGTTCCTACAAAATTGGGGAGAAGTAGATGGCCCCTTATAGCCTGTCAGTACCCTCTTTGTGGCCTGAGTCTCTCCAGGGTGGATAGGCCCAGAATTTTCAACTCTTTTTTGGATTTGCTAGGCAAAATGGATCAGTTAAACCTTTTAGGGGTTTGAGATATGGATTTCAACCCCATTGAACTCCCCAAATGTTCCCCCACCCCATGGATTCTGTCCCCATCTGCTTTTGGAATGTGACTGACTATGGCACACAAAGCTATTGCACATCAGTGGAAATTGTGGTAGGAGAGTGAGGGAGTTCCCATTCAGCAGCACTGTCATCCTTTCCTCCTTCAAAAACATACAAATAAGCTAAAATGTTTAGCACAGAACATTTTTGGCAGACATGTCATAATAGGCCAAGCATCCCAGAGACAATTTGCTGAGATTACAGCAAGTAATGGTGCAAGACAGGGCCATCAAAACGGTGGCAAAAGTGTGACTTTCTGCATAAATAGATTTCCAGGCAGTTGCTTTGCTCAGATGATCCCTACAAAACAAGTGCCCAAAGTTAAGTATTTGCCTAGAGAGCTGGTCTCTAAAGACAAGAAAAAGACATCCAAACAGTCTTTGAACACAAATATATGCAGAGGGGGTGATGTTTAGCCCTGCATCTTCACCCCTCCCTGCTCTGATTAGGTACTCTAGACAAGCACCTATGTGTAGATGGGCCTCATCTCTGGATAGGCTGGAGGGTGCAGAGGGCTGCATGTGCATTGGATATGCACAGATCCCATTTGGACTGCAATTGCTCCGTGGGAATTGAGAGGGCCAGAAAATAACCAATATTGCCTCCCAGCCTAGCAATGCACACATTTATGCCCATTTGACCTTCTATACAAAGTTATGCAGAGCAATTCCATCTTCACTGCACCCATATCCATTACACTTGAAAAGAGCAGTCTAGAACGGCACACAGAAATAAATTATACTAGACTGCAAATGCATTGCAAGTCAAATTGTATGAGACATCTGGCAGACCAAGTGAAGTGGAAACATCATTTTCAGATGCCTCTACAAACTCTTCTCCCTCCTCCCAAACTCTCCACTTATTAAGAACTCTTATTTTTATATTTACCTTCTTCCCAAAGATCATTTAAGGAATTATAAATTCCTTCAAAATATGAAACTTTAGAATATATGTGTGCAAATCTGTGCAATTTACAGCATTTATTCTCATGTGCTCTAGACTTTGAAATTGTAAGCTTAACTGATGTTTTTTTGCTGCAGACTGAAAACAATCATGCAGGAGGAAACCGGTCACAGCAGGGTGTGTTGTGAGCAAAGTCCCGTCTCCAGTTGCCTGACTATACAATTTTAGACCCTGCCAAAAATATTAAATGGAAAAGTATGTTTTTAACCTAATGGCTTTCTCTCTTGAGTCTCTTGCTTTTAGGTAGAAGAGGCAAGGAGGTGAACAGGCGAGATTCTTAGGGCTCCATCCAATGTCCTTTCCTCCTATATAAAAACAGTGCCCTCACATCCTAACCTTAACTACACCTTGGCATTGAGATGGGTCAGTGCTGCTGTCTACCCACTGTTCAACGTGTGGTGGTTTCAAGGCAGAGAATAGTGGGTTCTCTGCCACCCTTTCTTCACTCATCTTGCATCCCATGAATTGCTGTCTTGAAAGCCAGAGAGGGTGTTAAATAGGAGTTGGGGCTGATATTTAAGAGATTTTTTTTTTTTAAGTTCTAGCTATAAGAATATTGAGTAGTTGCTATTCCTATGGCTGGAAGACTATTTCATGATAGAATATGAATGAGCACAGGGATTGTCTGTCCTCCACCTTCCCCCTTCTGAGCAGCTTTTAATTTCCATGATTGTGCCCTGCTTGCTGCTACCCCAAGAGACCTGTCCTTCTCTGCCTCTTCACTGCAAGAGTCCTCAGAGCATCTTTGGACCTTACCACCCCTTATTGGAGCAGAGGTGGGATAGAAAGACAAATTCCCCTTCTGCTCCATGCTGGCCTAGACTGGATGTAATCTGATACATTATTCCTGTTTCCACCAGAAGTCCAATGGAAATGCACAAAACTACACTGGCAGCAGAAAACTGCGCAAGACAATTGCCCCAGAATACTTAGCAGCTTCTACCTCAACTGACTGCAAGTCAGCCAAGCCCTTTCAGATGTGCCTTTTTCCGAATTGCCTGTTCCCATTTTCCAGATTGGAAGCTGTCTTCTGTTTTCCCAGGGAAAACACTGCTCTCATGCTGCAAGCCCTTTCACATGTGTGCCTTCTTCCGAACTGCCTGTTCCCATTTTCCAGATTGGAAGTTGTCTTCTGTTTTCCCAGGGATGCTGGGAACTTCTTGGACTGACTTCAGCCTACCTCAGCAGTGGGGTTCCTATCAGCCGGAAGCTGTTGTGAGGAGACATCCTAAACAAGCAGTAAGTGGGTTGTTTTCATGCCATCCTAAGCAGGTTGTATGGATGAAGGATCAGTAACGTGCAGGACGCAGGCTGCAATCTCCAGGTCTTCCAGGAAAAGAATAAATACAAGGAACTGAGCGTAAAAGATATCCATGTTTATTTCCAAAAATGGCAGTGTCTGTTAACTCTCTTTCCCATACATCCCTACATCTCATTCAGAAAAATGGCATCTTTCATACCCCATAACAGGCTATGCCAAACTCCTTCCCCACATCTACCACTCCCCATTTCCAGAGGACATTTGGGTGAAAGTAAAGCAGTGGCTTGTCCCTTTCCCCAAAAGGTGCAAATGCCAATCCCATGGTTTCAGCTAACAGTCACCAGAGCCAGTGGGTCACTTTAAGAAGCTCAGTGCCAGCTGGCAAGTACCCAAGGGCAGCATGAGCCTGGCCCTTTTCATTCCTTAAGGAAGAAGTGCATCTTGTCATTGATGTTCTTGCGCTCAGGGTTGAGGCGCTTAAGAATTTGTGCCAGTACATTGACTGTCTGTTCGCTGCTCAGTCCAGTCTTCTTGGTTTGGAACTTCTTTAGGAGGTCCTTAGTGGTCATGGGCTTGCGGGTGAGGTATCGGCGCACAGCATCTTCCGTCAGCTGTACATCACTGCAAAGAGGAAGCAGGTTAATGGACCAGTCCAGACACCAGCTATAGCCCTAATTCTGAGAAGAGACTCACATTTCCTTGTGTCACTCACCCTGGAAAGT